ACCAGGCCTGCCCTACAAGAGATCCTGAAGGAAGCACTAAACATGGAAAGGAACAACCAGACCAGCCACTGCAAAAACACCAAAATGTAAAGACCAGAGATGCTAGGGAGAAACTGCATCAACTAATGAGCAAAATAACCAGCTAACATCATAATGACGCCATCAAATTCACACATAACAATATTAACCTTAAATGTAAATGGGCTAAATGCCCCAATTGAAAGACACAGACTGGCAAATTGGATAAAGAATCAAGACCCATCAGTATGCTGTATTCAGGAGACCCATCTCACATGCAGAGACACACATAGGCTCAAAATAAAGAGATGGAGGAAGATCTCCCAAGCAAATGTAAAACAAAAAAAAGCAGGGGTTGCAATCCTAGTCTCTGATAAAACACACTTGAAACCATCAAAGATCAAAAGAGACAAAGAAGGCCATTCCATAACAGTAAAGGGATCAGTTCAACAAGAAGAGCTAACTATTGTAAATATATAAGCACCCAATACAGGAGCACCCAGATTCATAAAGCAAGTCCTTAGAGATTTACAAAGAGACTTAGACTCCTACACAATAATAATGGGAGAGTTTAACACCCCACTGTCAACATTAGATCAATGAGACAGAAAGTTAACAAGGATATCCAGGAATTGAACTAAACTCTGGACCAAGTGCACCTAATAGACATCTACAGAACTCTCCACCCCAAATCAACAGAATATACATTCTTCTCAGCACCACATCACACTTATTCCAAAATTGACCACATAGTTGGAAGTAAAACACTCCTCAGCAAATGTAAAACAACAGAAATTATAACAAACTGTTGATCAGACCACAGTGCAATCGAACTAGAACTCAGGATTAAGAAACTCACTCAAAACCACTGAACTACATGGAAACTGAACAACCTGCTCCTGAATGAATACTGGTTACAAAACGAAATGAAGGCAGAAATAAAGATGTTCCTCGAAACCAATGAGAACAAAGACACAACGTACCAGAATCTCTGGGACACATTTAAAGCAGTGTGTAGAGGGAAATTTATAGCACTAAATGCCCACAAGAGAAAGCAGGAAAGATCTAAAATCAACACCCTAACATAACAATTAAAAGAACTAGAGAAGCAAGAGCAAGCACATTCAAAAGCTAGCAGAAGGCAAGAAATAACTAAGATGAGAGCAGAACTGAAGGAGATAGAGACACAAAAAAACCTTCAAAAAATCAATGAATCCAGGAGCTGGTTTTTTGAAAAGATCAACAAAATATATAGACTGCTAGCAAGACTAATAAAGAAGAAAAAGAGAAGAATCAGTAGACGCAATAAAAAAAATGATAAAGGGGATATCACCATGAATCCCACAGAAATACAAACTACCATCAGAGAACACTATAAACACCTCTACCCAAATAAACTAGAAAATCTGGAAGAAATGGACAAATTTCTGGACACATACACCCTCCCAAGACTAAACCAGGAAGAAGCTGAATCCCTGTATAGACCAATAACAGGCTCTGAAATTGAGGCAATAATTAATAGCCTACCAACCAAAAAAAGTCCAGGACCAGATGGATTCACAGCCAAATTCTACCAGAGTTACAGGGAGGAGCTGGTACCATTCCTTCTGAAACTATTCCAATCAATAGAAAAAGAGGGAATCCTCCCTAACTTATTTTATCAGGCCAGCATCATCCTGAAACCAAAGCCTGGCAGAGACACTACAAAAAAAGAGAATTTTAGACCAATATCCCTGATGAACATCCATGTGAAAATCCTCAATAAAATACTGGCAAACCGAATCCAGCAGCACATCAAAAAGCTAATCCACCATGACTAAGTGGGCTTCATCCCTGGGATGCAAGGCTGGTTCAACATACACAAATCAATAAACATAATCCAGCATATAAACTGAACCAAAGACAAAAACCACATGATTATCTCAATAGATGCAGAAAAGGCCTTTGACAAAATTCAACAACGCTTCATGCTAAAAACTCTCAATAAATTCGGTGTTGATGGGACATATCTCAAAATAATAAGAGCTATTTATAACAAACCCACAGCCAATATCATACTGAATGGGCAAAAACTGCAAGCATTCCCTTTGAAAACTGGCACAAGCCAGGGATGCCCTCTCTCACCACTCCTATTCAACATAGTGTTGGAAGTTCTGGCCGGGGCAATCAGGCAGGGGAAAGAAATAAAGGGTATTCAATTAGGAAAAGAGGAAGTCAAATTGTCTCTGTTTGCAGATGACATGATTGCATATTTAGAAAACCACATCGTCTCAGCCCATAATCTCCTTAAGCTGATAAGCAACTTCAGCAAAGTCTCAGGATACAAAATCAAGGTGCAAAAATCACAAGCATTCTTATACATGCATAAAAGACAAACAGAGAGCCAAATCATGACTCCCATTCACAATTGCTTCAAAGAGAATAAAATACCTAGGAATCCAACTTACAAGGGATGTGAAGGACCTCTTCAAGGAGAACTGCAAACCACTGCTCAACGAAATACAAGAGAACACAAACAAATGGAAGAACATTCCATGCTCACAGACAGGAAGAATCAATATTGTGAAAATGGCCATACTGCCCAAGGTAATTTATAGATTCAATGCCACCCCCATCAAGCTACCAATGACTTTCTTCACAGAATTGGAAAAAACTACTTTAAAGTTCGTATGGAACCAAAAAAGAGCCCGCATCTCCAAGACAATCCTAAGTCAAAAGAACAAAGCTGGAGGCATCATGCTACCTGACTTCAAACTATACTACAAGGCTACAGTAACCAGAACAGCATGGTACTGGTACCAAAACAGAGATATAGACCAATGGAACAGAACAGAGCCCTCAGAAATAATACCACACATCTACAACCATCTTTGACAAACCTGACAACAACAAGAAATGGGGAAAGGATTCCCTATTTAATAAATGGTGCTGGGAAAATTGGCTAGCCATATGTAGAAGGCTGAAACTGGATCCCTGCCTTATACTTTATACAAAAATTAATTCAAGATGGATTAAAGACTTAAATGTTAGACCTAAAACCATAAAAACCCTAGAAGAGAACCTAGGCAGTACTATTCATGACATAGGCATGGGCAAGGACTTCATGTCTAAAACACCAAAAGTAATGGCAACAAAAGCCAAAATTGACAAATGGGATCTCATTAAACTAAAGAGTTTCTGCACAGCAAAATAAACTACCATCAGGTTGAACAAGCAACCTACAGAATGGGAGAAAATTTTTGCAATCTACTCATCTGACAAAGGGCTAATATCCAGAATACACAAGGAACTTAAACAAATTTACAAGAAAAAAACAAACAACCCCATCAAAAAGTGGGCGAAGGATATGATCAGACACTTCTCAAAAGAAGACATTTATGCAGCCAACAGACACATGAAAAATTGCTCATCATCACTGCCCATCAGAGAAATGCAAATCAAAACCACAATGAGATACCGTCTCACACCAGTTATAATGGTGATCATTAAAAAGTCAGGAAACAACAGGTGCTAGAGAGGATGTGGAGAAATAGAAACACTTCTACACTGTTGGTGGGATTGTAAACTAGTTCAACCATTGTGGAAGACAGTGTGGTGATTCCTCAAGGATCTAGAATTAGAAATATCATTTGACCCAGCCATCCCATTACTGGGTATATACCCAAAGGATTATAAATTATGCTGCTATAAAGACACATGCACACATATGTTTCTTGTAGCACTATTCACAATAGCAAAGACTTTGAACCAACCCAAATGTCCATCAATGATAGACTGGATTAAGAAAATGTGGCACATATATACCATGGAATACTATGCAGCCATAAAAAAGGATGAGTTCATGTCCTTTGTAGGGACATGGATGAAGCTGGAAACCATCATTCTCAGCAAACTATCGCAAGGACAGAAAACCAAAGACTGCATGCTCTCACTCATAGATGGGAATTGAACAATGAGAACACCTGGACACAGGAAGGGGAACATGACACACCGGGGCCTGTTGTGGGGTGGGGGGAGGGGGGAGGGAGGGATAGCATTAGGAGATATACCTAATGTAAATGACGAGTTAGTGGGTGAAGCACATCAACATGGCACATGTATACATATGTAACAAACCTGCATGTTGTGCACATGTACCCTAGAACTTAAAGTATAAAATAATAATAATAATAATAAATATATACCATCGGCATACCCTGATCAAGGTCTGTTTAAGTATCTGAAATGTCAAATTATCAAGAAGCTGTTTTTAGTCATGTCATTATAGATAGGGATAGAAATCTTCTAGTGATCTGTGTTAAGAAAGATTTTTTGAGCCACATCCGGGTTCAGCAGAAGCTGGCTGATCGATTAGCAATGTTTTCCACATCCACACGCTTGCCGGATAGTTTCCTTTTCTTTTCTAGAACATCCTCTCATTAACTCCTTCCTGGTTCTCTACATGCATGCTTCTCAAGCTTTAACATGGATATGAAACACTTGCTAAGATGCAGATTCTGATGCAGTAGGTAGGGGTAGAGCCCATGATTCTGCATTTCTGAGAAGCTCCCAGGTGATGCTCATGCTGGTCCCCAGAACTTTCAAGTCGCCTTTTTTAACATTATGACAATTTCCCTTGTTAATTACCCAGAAATATTATTACTTTATCCTTTTTTCTTACTGCTGGCCAGGCAGAGAAGTAAGAAAATAGCCACTGCTCTCAGGTCTTAATAATCAGAAAAAAATTAAAATTTAATATAAAAGATTCCTAAAACATTCTATGATCTTCAGTGTGATATATCTCTATATTTATATGTGTGTGTATACATATATATATTCATAAAGTCTGATTTATCATGCTTTTATTGGTAAAAAGTTTCTCTCAACCACTCTTTCTCAGTCCTAGACTACAAAAATGATTGATTTTTCCTTAAAATGACCCTGAAGTTCTGCAAGATCCTAAACTCCCTGCTAAATTATCAAATAACTCATTTTCACTACAGTTGCATAATTAATTTTACTTTATTGCAGTCTAATTTTTTAAAATGTTATCCCAAACATGATGTACATGGTAATTCTCAGTTACTTCAAATACACTTCACTCAACAATGGAAATGGCATGAAAGTGAGGGATACTTATTCATTTTTATGAAGATTATTACATAAAACGAGCATATGTGAAAAAAATCAGAAGATACAGCCATTGACAAGTTAATCAGTTTATATCTTTGCACATTATCAGTTGTGAAAAATCCCAAGATATAAAGCTTTTTTAATCATAGTATCTCTCAGAGAGGGTGTGGGCCTTGTACCTTGCATCAAAGCACATTTTCCTCATGGAAAAATTTCCGAACTGAGTCTTCCTCTTCTTTAAAGTTTTATTTGATGTCAGTCACAAGATCAGAAGGATCATGAGGCGTGTCCCTGTCAATGACCAGCTTTTCAGTTCTATGTAGAGTCAATGGGCCCACTTTCTACTCCAGGTCCCTCAATACTTGAAAATTCTGTGTCAATAAGCGGTTTCAGAAATTTCTCAACCTTGGTTAATCTTTGTTTCAGTTTCTGCTGCATGGACTCATACTCAGCCAAGATTCGGGCAAACCTTGTTTGCAGGAGGTCTACTGACCCCTCCATTCGAGTAACTTTCTCTTCAAGATCTTTAGGATCACTGCCAGCATTTGCAATGTTTAGATCCAGTAGACCATCTTTCATTAAAATCTGCTTCCCTTTCTCTTCCAGCATAGTTTTGGCATCTGGATACTCAGTTAGAGCTTCCATGAGGTCATCTTTTGAGAGACAGAACAGGTCTGAGTAGCCAATACTTTTAATATTGGCAGTTCGTCGATTGCCGGCTTTGCTCCCTTTAATATTAAGAATGCTGATCTCACCAAAGTAGCTGCCGTCGCTCAATACCACAAACTGAGTGACTCCATCATCTGCCACCACAGCGAGTTTGCCTTCCTTGATAATGTACATCTCTCGTCCAATATCCCCTTTCTTGCAAATATAATCTCCAGGACTGTAGACTTGGGGTTGCAATTTCAAGACCAACTCCACCAACAGACCAGCTTCACAATCAGCAAAAATGCGTACCTTTTTTAATGTGTCTAAGTGAACATTGATGGCAATTTCTGCTCTTAGTTTATCAGGTAGATACTTTAAGACTTCTTTCTCATCAACTGTTTTTTTGTTGGTCCACAGGTAGTCAAACCATTTAATAACCCTCTTTTCCATATCTTTGCTTACATTTCGAAAATGCATATATTGCTTGATAGCATCAATTCTTGCTTGAAATTCTGCTCTGGCCGCATTCATGTTGGAAATCATAGAACCTATGTTACCAACGATGGTAGCAAAAATTAGCACTCCAATTAGGAAATCAACCACCACAAAGACATACTCAGAATCCCTCACAGGAGGGGGTGTTTCACCAATGGTAGTCAAAGTCAGTGTAGACCAGTAAAGGCTGTATACGTATTTTCTAGCCAAACGGCCAAATTCAGGATCATTAGTATCAGGGTAGACCCATGTATCATTTCCAAATCCAATAGCTTTAGAAATAGAGTAGTACACACATGCATTCCAGTGGATAATGATGACGATGTACATAACAAGGTTGGAAATCCTGAAGATGTTTGGATAGTTTGTCCTTGTTTCTGTTCTCTGGAAGAACTCAAACATACGAGAGATTCGTAATAACCTGTTTAATCTAATTTCTGGATAGTTCCACCCTAACTTAAAATACAGCAAATCAGTTGGTATCAGTGACAGAACATCAAGTTTAAATTGTAAGTTGGATTTATATTTATTTATGAGTTTAAGTTCTTCCTTTACCAGCAGTCCTTGTTCTAGGTAACCTAAAATAAAAAATAAAATAAATTCAGTGTTTCTCCTTTTTATGTAATTGTGAATTTTTGTGAAGTAACTGTCAATTAACTTTGTTGAGGTCAAAAGAAAAATTCATTTTCAATAAATATGACTTTAACAATGTAATAAAATACAAATATCAATCAACCTATGGCTGTAGAAAATATTCTGCTGCAGAAATAAAAGGTAAAATTTTGGCCAGACAGCTCACATCTGTAATCCCAGTACTTTAGGAGGCTGAGACTCAATATCACTTGAGCCTGGGAGTTCGAGGCTGCAGTGACCCATGATAGCACTACTGCATTCCAGCCTGGGCAACAGTGAGACCCTGTCTCACAAAAAAAAAAAAAAAAAAAAAAAAAGTAAAATTTTGTAAGTGCAAAAGTGAAAGTGTACGAATCTCTCAAGGTCTATCATCTCCATCCAGGTAAAGCCATTCCTTTCATGAGTAGTGTTCTTGTGATATTGTGAGATAAATACATATATATATATATATATATGGTCCCTGGCACAGGACTCTTAAAACTCTTGTAATTTCCTAAGCAATATGGTTACTAAGTGATTTTTTTTTTTTAGTCAGAGTCACCCAGGCTGGAGTGCAGTGGTGCAATCTCGTCTTGCTGCAACCTCTGCCTCCCGGGTTCAAGCAATTCTTCTGCCTCAGCCTCCTGAGTAGCTAGGACTACAGGCACGTGCCACCACACCCAGCTAATTTTTGTACTTTAGTAGAGACAGGGTTTCACCATATTGGCCAGGCTGGTCTCGATCTCCTGACCTCATGATCCACCGGCCTTGGACTCCCAAAGTGCTGGGATTACAGGCGTGAGCCACTGAGCCCGGCCCTAAGTCCATCTTTTGTTATGGTATTTGGTTCTTGACCCCAGTTCCTGAAACAGAGTTATTTGTCCCTTGATGTTTCCTGGGTGATAGAAATGTCTTTTGTTCTGGCCAGGTGCAGTGGCTCACACCTATAATCCCAGTGCTTTGGAAGGCTGAGGCAGGAGGATCCCTTGAGTACAGGAGTTCGAGACCAGCCTAAGTCTCTATGATATTATAAGAAAGAAAGAGAGAGAGAGAGAAAGAGAGAGAAAGAAAGAAAGAAAGAAAGAAAGAAAGAAAGAAAGAAAGAAAGAAAGAAGAAAAGAGGGGAGAAGGGAGGGGAGGAAGGAAGGAAGGAAAGGAAGGAAGGAAGGAAAGGAAAGGAAGGAAGGAAGGAAGGAAGGAAGGAAGGAAGAAAGAAAGAAAGAAAGAAAGAAAGAAAGAAAGAAAGAAAGAAAGAAAGAAAGAAAGAAAGAAAGAAAGAAAGAAAGAGAGAGAGAAAGAGAGAGAAAGAAAGAAAGGAGGAAGGAGGGAAGGAAGGAAAAGGTGAGGTCCAAGATGGGGCTGGTCACCAGAAAGACTAAGTTATGTTTAGAAGCTTGGAACTTTTACCCCAACCTCCTTCATCCAGGAAAGGGAGAAGCACTGGAGACTGAGTTAATAGTCCATCATGCCTCCATGGTGAAGCCTCTATAAAAATCCCTGAACTATGGGGTTTGGAGCATTATCAGGTTGGTGAACACATCTACGAACTAGGAGGGTGCCACACCCCAGTTCCATGGGGACAAAAGCCCCTGTTCTCATGACTCTTCCCAACTTTGCCCTATGTATCTCTTCATCTGGCTCTTCCTCGGTATCCAGTATCATATCCTTTATTAATAAAATAAAGCAGTAAACGTAAGTGTTTTCCTAAGGTCTGTAAGTTGTGCTAGCAAATTACTGGACCCACGAGGGAGCTATGGGAACCCCAATATATAGTTGGTCAGTCAGAAGCACAAGCCACAACCTGAGACTTACAATTGGCATCTGAAGCAGGGGATCATCTTGGGAGACTGAGCCCTTAACGTGTGAGGCCTGTTCTAACTCCCGTGAGTGTGCGAATTCAGTTAAATTTTAACTCAGCTGGTGTTACAGAATTGCTTGGTGTGTAGAGGAAACACCACATACATATTGGAGACCAGAATTGTATTGTATTGAGAGTGTAGTAATATACAATGCGTTGTTGTTTTTTTCCCCACCATACACAGTTCGTGGAAGGTTTCCTGAACACGCTAGTGATGTACCTAATAGCCCATGCCACTGCCTTGTCAGAATCCCAGCTCTACCCTGGATGCTTGGGTACTTGCCCTGTGCTGTCTATTTTGCATATTCTTGCCTTACCCCTTCAATGTGAAGCATAAGTGTCCCTTGAGGCTGCATTTTCATCTGTCATTCTTGCTCCCTTAGACACTTGGGATCTTCCCTCCTATGCTGTTACCATGGGGCTTGTGTGTTTTAAACCCAGCATTTCAGCCATCTGATACATTACACTAGGAAAGGGATTTGCTCCTTCTCCTAAACTGACTACCAAAGTTACAAATATGACAGAGCAAGTGGAGCATTGTTCCAGGTTACTAGTATTTAGAGAATGTTCTATTTTACATAATGATTCTTTAAAGGTTATAGTCTGTGTATACTGGTTACATTTGCGAGTGAAGAGTGGTGTAGAAACAATCAGCTTCTACCTACTTAACAGAAATACTTCCGAAGCTATCCCCTCCGGTCAATAATATCTCATCATAAACCACAAAGCTGAGCTAAATGCATTTTTTCCTCCTTCTTATAAAATTTTGAATATGGCTCTGCTGAGGACAACGACATTTTTCCCCATGACTCTTCAAATTATCTCCCTGTTAGGTAGCAATTACTCTTCCCCCTGTAACTGGCAGAATATTTCTGCTCTCTCTATTCCTCTCGCCTGGCACAAAACCAATGAACAAGATAATGGAGGAAAGCCGCATCTACTTGTCAAAAGGTTGCCTGGTAACTTCCTCTGAATCAGCTGGAGTCATCTAAGCCTGTGAGTTTATACATCGTGACTCTTGCTTTCACCTGTGCCTTTTTCTCTAGAACAGATTTTTGTGGGTTTACTTTGAAGAATACTTGGATTAGGAAATGTCAAATTACAATGCTAGAGATAAAAGCATAAAATTTTAAAATATTCAAAACTGAACATATTTACCTGTCCTTGTTCGTACAAACATATCAATTAAATAGACTATGTCTGATACGTAATCTAAAATGAGCCAATATTCTAGGTAATCAGATTGAAGTTCATCAAAACATGCTCTGTAAAAAAAGAAACACCTGTATAAATAAAAAAGAAATGTGGGCCAATTTAAGTAAAAGTTCTCTTTGTATATTTTCTTTATCATGGTGAGAAGCACAGCACACTCAGGCTAGGAGAGGTCCTTAGAGTCCTTTAATCAACCATGGCTTTCCCGAAACTCTCCCTGAGTGGTTGGATTTTGATCCTCACACTTCTGAATTCTAACATCCTTTCCATGATGCTAGTCAGCTTTGTAAAATCATCCAATAAGAATAAGTGGATTGAAGGTTACAAGTATACAGCAAGACAGAAGGAATAAATTCAATGTTTGATTAACAGACTGTACTTAACAAAAACGTATTGAACTTGGGTGATGGACACCCTAAATACCCTTTGTTATATACAAGTAACAAAATTTCACACATACCCCAAAAATTTGTACAAAAAAATCTTTAAATAAATTTAAAAAATAAATGGCCTAAAACTAAAATCAAAATATGTTGGGTGAAACACATTGATCACCTGGTTCATATTTGACTATCTGTACCCAAAATGCTTTAGGAAATTGTGCTTGGCCTTGGATGAGGGAGATGTTTACCATGTAAAAGACACTAAATCCTTGACCTTTATCCACTATTGGCAACATTTTTTTCTCATAGGCCAAAGAAAATAGTTTCTCCCAATGTTCTAATTAAGTTATCATACAACCAAAAGTTTACAAGTCTTCCCCTCCAACAACAGACACTGGGGTCTATTTGAGAGTGACAGGTGGGAGAAGGGAGAGAAGCAGAAAAAATAACTATTTGGTACTAGGCTTAATACCTGGGTGAGAAAATAATCTGTGCACCAAACCCCTGTGACATGAGTTTACCTATATAACAAGCCTGCACATATACCCCCGAACCTAAAATGAAAGGTAAAAAAATTAAAAAAGAAAAGTCTTCCCCTGACCCCTCCATGCATCCCAGTACTGGAGACCCAGTTATACTGAGAACTGAAGCACCTCCTCCTGATTCCAGGAAAACACACTGAGTATAATCTAGCCTCTCTTTACCACCTGCAGTAGAGAAAGGGGGTGTGTCCTAAAAGGCTCTAAGTCAAATTGTTTAGTCAGTGAACTTGGAAATTAGAAATGGGGTGAGATCCACAAAAACAAACAAAAAAAAATTATAGACACCTGGCAATAACCATTGTCCAGTTGTACATAACAGGTAAGGTGATGCAAAACAGCCAGTTGTAATACGTGTTTCCCGAAGGATCAATAACCACAACTTCTTTCTTCTCCCTAGCAGCAATTAGAAATAAAGGGGATAGTTACCAAGATACAAGAACATTTTTTATTTACCATATTAAACATCATTATGCCCATCAACCACAATTAATGAAATGGAAGTAAGCTGGAGAAGCTCACTCTGCAGTGGGAAGATTAGCATGGAATAAGAGCATTAGTCATAAGAAAGTGGTTAGTGAGGGGTGGATAAATAACGAAATGACCAGTCTTATATTAAAGCATACATTAGGTTTTTACTAAAGCCCTGGGGTTTCACTGAGATACTGCAGTCAGTTGTATACTTCAGCCACTGAGAGGGAATAGATCCGAGGCCCCCAACACCCAGGCTGTGGGCCAGTACTGGTCTGTGGTCTGTTAGGAAGCCGGTGGGCCACACAGCAGGAGGTGAGCTGCGGGGCAAGGGAGCATTACCGCCTGAGCTCCGTCTCCTGTCAGATCAGCAGCGGCATTAGGTTCTCATAGGAGCACAAACCTTATTGTGATCTGCGCGTGCAAGGAATCTAGGTTGCACACTCCTTATAAGAATGTAATCAAAATAAAAATTAAATTTTTATTTCAGCTTTTAAAATGATGGTAGGATCCTAGAAACCTAATCCTCCTTGGAACCTAAATATTTCTCAGCGATAAGTTATCTTCACTAATGCTTAGGGAAGCGAATTAACCATAGAGAATTAAGAATAATGCTACCATTGCGAATTTGAGGGAAATTAGAAAAAGTTTTAATTCACTTCCGATAATTTATGTTAAATGTTTATTTTTCAATATTTAAAGACATTTAGTCTTTACACAGGGCTCTTTACTGTAAAGTTTCTTTCTACTTTGCATTATGGAAAACCGTCCCTGCATCTAAAACCCATCACAATTTCATTCTATTTCAATGCCAGTAAAAGTGCTTACTCTTCTTTCTTATCTTTGCTTTTCTCCTCTTTTTTTTCCTTCTCTTTGTCCTTTTTCTTCTTTTTCTTCTCTAGGTCCTTTTTATTTTCGTTTTTATCATCTGACTTGCTGAAAAAGTTAAGCAAGTAGTATTAAAATACAGAAATGTTATGGGCAGAAAAATGTGGGGTAATTCTTGCCAAAGTCTTACCTCTTCTTTGCTTTTTTCTTTTTCTTTTTTTCTTCTGGTTCTCTAAAGAGAAAAATAATATATCTGTCACATAATCACAGTCTTCCACTCTGATTTACTTTCTTTTTCATCAAGCAAATATCTCAGCCTTGCATTCAAAGACCTGCTTCCGTGCTCAAAACCCATCTGGTCTCTTGCTGGAGATTTCTACCAAAAAAAGGGGAGGGATAATTATCCAGATAATAAACAAAAACTTCTAAGCTAATAGATGTGGGAAGTAGAAATGAATGGAGATGAATAAAGGCATAAAACCAAGGAGAAAAATTTAAGAAACAACAGCCCCCCAAGAGTGTTCTTCCAAAGTGTTAATGTATTAAAAATAATTTTTAAAATTTAAGCTTCTTGACATCATTTATATTTATCCTTGAATAAAATCATTGAGAATTTTAAGAAAATGTCATCAATTTTCTTTAGAGGGAATAACTCTGACTGAAGTCATTTTTCATGAGTAATCAACAAGCTGTCTGGTAATATGGTGGAATCTCAATTATTAGAATAATTTATCAGATTTAAGGCCACCTTTTTCTACATACAATTTCTTCTTGAGTGGAGATTGTGTAACTAGTGCCTCTTTCTATAATTAACTTTCTCTATCAGCAGGGGAATAGATTCTGAAGTCAGACAGACCTAGGGTTATAGCAGGCTGCCGTTGTCAGCTCAGATGTCTTAGGAAATTTCATTATCCAGACATGAATGAAAAGGCATCTCATTACCACTAGGATAGTCAGAGAAGGCTTTTAAAAGGAGGTAGGTCTAAAGCTAGGCCTCAAAGTATGACTAAGAGTTGGAGAAGTTGAGAAGAGAGAGGATATTAGAGCAGAAAAATTTCTAAGTGCAATGGACTTAATCTGGGTAAGAATGACCCAGCAGAAGTGGAAAGCCTCTGTTGAGAAGAAATGGAAGATAAGATTGACAAGTGAGGTGAGGCTTAACATCCAAGATGGTCACGTACAAACAGGGACAGAACCATAAAGTTGGATAAGGAAGAATTTACTGCTATGGGAGTACACTTCTATGAGTCAAGATTTGACAGCCTACCATGGATCCTGAAGGATGATGTCGACACACTACTCAAACGGCTCTTGGAAACCTGGAAAAGGTAATGGCCTATACAAAATGAAATAAACATTAACACCATGGCAGATGGTGGAGGAAGGTATCAAAAGACTCAGAAAAGTGGCATCTTGAAGTGGATACACTGTTTGGAAGATAGCCTACCAGCTAATTATGTTCCCAAAGAGAGCTCGAAGGATGCAAAAGTGATGTGGAATAGGCTGGTGAGAGGGGCATTAGTAGCTTTGAGAAGTTCAGTGGTGCTATCCTCTGTAGGCCAGGGCTGATGACGGGAAATGCCGTTACAGAACTGGGTTCTCTGAGAGCAACAGGGTTAATAAGATCCAGAAATAACTGAGACTAATGGCAGTGCTTACCCATCAGAAGTAAGGTTTCTTCAGTAATTATAATGAGCATTAAGGTGGGTATGGTAACAAAGGGGCTTAACCTATAGACAGCTATGGAGGAGGTTAATAGAACACAGTATTCCTAGACAGATGGGAAGACTATTAGCTAGTTAGGGTATTATTTAATATATACAACCAAAACAAATGAGGAATGAATAATTAGGAGGTTGAGGTCAACTCATTCCATCAAAAAAATCAGAATCTTTGTAAGGGCACGGTGGCCCATGGCTATAATCCCAGCACTCTGGGAGGTCGAAGTGGGAGGATCACTCAAGTCCAGGAGTTCAAGACCAGCCTGGGCAACATAGCGAGACCCTATCTCAAAAAATGAATTGATTCATTACAATTTAAATTTTAAAAAAAATCAGAATCCTTAGAAAAGTTCCAGATCTAAGCCAATACTTAGACCTAAAACCACTGACTAGAGGAGATGCCATGACCCATGAAGAAAAACTCTGCAACACTATGACAAATATATTCCAGTAATGATTTCCTCAGTCTTTGTCCTAAAGAACCTATGGCCATTACTTAGATCACTGTACTCTGGGGGAAAAAAAAGAATTCCTAGATACATCGAAGACTGGCACAGGATCCAAGTTGATGTTGACACCTAGGGATTGAAGCATCATTGTGGCCCCCTGTTAAACTTGAAGAGCATATGATGGACTGGTAATAATAGATTTCTGGATGAGATATGACTTATGGTGTTTCCACTGAGTCCACAGACCCACTACTATGTGATCATTTCTCCAGTTCCTAAATGTAAAAGTGAAATGTATGTAATTCTTGAATATAAAAGTAGAATGTATACAAGTTCCTGAATATAAAAGAGAAATGTATATAATTGTATAAAATCACGCATGGAGGAGTGGTGGTCTCTCTTAATTTCCCCATGTAATTTATCATCTGACTCCCATAAAAACTAAATAGATCCTAGTGGATGGCAGATAGACTATTGCAAAATCAACCAAGTAGTAGCCCCAATTGCAGCTGCCGTGTCCTATGTGGAAAATAACAGAAACCCACTCTGTGATCATTTCTCCAGTTCCTAAATGTAAAGTGAAATTTACATAATTCCTGAATACAAAAGCGAAATGTAGATTAATGGTCATTGGCAGAACTCCCACCCTTACCCCACTAGTTCCTTGGCTTGTGAGGAAAGAAGGGTAAGATCAAGGAGAAGCCCTTAAGCTGCTTCCCACCTTCTGGCCAAAAGCAACATTGTATCCTGGGGAGAAAAAGAAATTCCATCCTTAAAGACCTAAAGGATGCAGGGGAAGTGATCCCTCTTCATTTCCCCACATAATTCATCATCTGACCACTGCAAAAACCAAATGGACCCTAATGGACAGCAGTAGATGACTGCAAAATCAACCAAGTGGTAGCCCCAATTGCAGCTGCTGTGTCATATATGGAAAACCATGCATTCACTTGATATACACTGCATACCTAAGGTTCTGGGTCAGTCATGTGAATGTCATTTTTCACTACTATCAGGAAAGACGATCAGACATAGTTCCTACTCACATGGGATGACAAACTGTACACATCTACACTCTTCCAAGGCTATATTAACTCTCTTTCCTACTGTCATGACAGTCTTGAGGGACCTGGATCATGTGGACATTTCTCAAAGCACCACATTAGTCCACTATGTCTGTATCAATGGCATTCTGTTAATCAGACCCTGAAATAGGATTACCTTCCCAAAGTGCTGGGATTACAGGTCTGAGCCACCATGCCTGGCCTTCAGTACCTTTCTTTATGTCATTTTCCATGGCTGGAAATTTCCATTCCTTTTCCACTATGTCATTTTCCACTCAGCACCTATTTATCAGCCCCCACCTGTGGCCATATGTGGGGTTCTTTAGAAGGAGCTGATACAGCGTGTTGCATAGATGGGTCAGTTTAGAATGTGGATGCAAGCCAAAATGGGCTGTGTCTGCACCACAGCCTCACTTAGAGACGGTCTTGAAAGACAGTGTGAGGTTAATTTCCCCAATGGCACAGCTTCAAGCAGTATACAGTCATCTAGTTTGTATGGAAAAAGAAATAGTCCAAGCTGGGTGTGGTGGCTCATGCCTGTAATCCCAGCTCTTTAGGATGCTGAGGTGGGAGGATCACTTGAGGCCAACGAGTTGGAGACCAGCCTGGCCAACATGGCAAAACCCCACTAAAAATACAAAAATTAGCCAGGCGGGGTGGCGCACACCTATAATCCCAGCTATCGGGAGGCTGAGGCAGGAGGATCACTTAACTCCAGGAGATGGAGGTTGCAGTGAGTCGAGATTGCACCACTGCACTCCAGCATGGGGAACTGAGTGAGATCTTGTCTCAAAAAAATAAATAAATAAAGGAAAAAGAAATAGCCCAAATTAAGAATATACAAGTACAAAAGAACTCATGGGCAGTCACAAATGCCTTGACTGGTTGGTCAGGGACCTGGATGGAAAGATCAGGGAAAATATTTCGGGAGAAGAGGCAGACTGAATGGACATATTATGAGTGTGAGCACAAAGTTTGAAAAATCTTCGTTTTTGTTTGTTTGTTTGTTTTTTGCTCTTAGTGAACCTATCTGTTACAGAGACCAATGCTATGACTCCAAAACAGTGCTTTCTCTTGAGGAAAGTAATCAGTCACTTGATGGCAAGTTAACTAAATTGGACTCCTGACACCATGGAAGGGGCATCAAATATATTGATAAGAACTGACATATATTATGGCTATTCATTTGCTTTTTTGCCACAGGGCTTTGACCAGTGCCATTACTTAGGGGCATATGAAGCATGATTACTAATATGAAATATTGCTTAACATCACTTTGGACCAAGGACTCGCTTTAAGGCAAAAAAAAAAAATGTGGCATTGGACCCTGAGTATGAGATCCCATGGTCCTATCATATGCTGCACACCTTTTGTCAGCTACTGACAGGATAGTTAAGGAGTGACCTTTTGAAACCACAGCTGAGGTGTTATCATAGAGTTTATACTCTAGGAAGATAAGGTGCCATCCTCTAGGATACTGTATATATGCTAAAACAATGATCATTGTATGGTTCCTGTATAGAATGAATTGGTCTGGGAACTAAGGGGTCTAAGTAGGGGTGACAAATGTAGGAAAGGTGTGTTTCCCATTCTTGCAACTTAAGGATCTGTGGGTCTAGAGGCCCTGGCTTCCAGAGGGGTGATGCATCTGCCAGGGAATGCCAGAGCTCCATTAAACATTAAGCTATGGCTACTCCCCAGCCACTTTGGGCCCCTCATGCCAAGAAACCAACAGGCAAGGAAGAGAGTCACCACACTGGCAAAAGTTATTGACCTTGATCATCAGAAGTAGGCAGTGCTGCTGTTATACAATGCAGGGAGGGGAGATGTATTTGCACCTAGGTGGTCTTTTGTTATTTTCCAGCCCAGTTTTGGTGGTAAATGGGCAAGTACTGTAGCCATGACTCAAGAAGGGCATGGTGACCCAGGGCTCAAGTCCTTCAGGGATGAGTGTCTATATTGTTCACACCAGCTAAGTCATCTAGACCAGCAGACCCTAGAATGAGTAGAAGCGGAGAGGGTGAAGAATTTCATTTGAGGCCTCAAAACCACCTGCAGCTGCCAGAGGCCTTAGTTTAATCCCATTAACTTTCCTCTTACAAGCTTTCTCAAGAAAAAAGAATAACCAGGATTCTGGAGTAGGTATTCCCACATGGGGTGAATTTTCTATATAAACAAAATAGATCTGAGCAGCACACAGGTGGGCTGTACAGTGGTTATGCAGGTGGTGCACAAAATTCTGGCACTCATTCTCCACTTGCCAAGAGTGTTGGTTGCTGTCAGCTCAGTTTTTCCTCTCACTTGGTTGGCCTTGGCTGAAGGAAACCACCATGTTCAAGGTTATGCTCCATCTTCTAGGGCCAACCTTTTTCCAGTAACTGTTCATGGGTACAAAGGCCCAAGTCTATTACCTAAATAGGGACAACTCTAAAAGGTCATCCCTGCTCCAGGGATCCCCATTGAATCACATTGTACATCAGCTCTATTCTCTGAAGTTCGACTTCTCCCTCTCCCCAATACTGACCCCCAACTCCCTTCCAGATATTGTTCCCAAGACCATTCCCAACAAACCTCTGCATACAAGCCTCCATCTCAGAAACTGTTTCCTGAGGAACGTCACCTAAGACACATTGGCTCAAACTGGAAAGTTTCCAGGAGTAATGTGTTTCACTTATTTTTCTCAGTCACTCTATTCACAAAGAAAGTCAACTGCATGAACACTATAGACATGATTTTTTCTACATGTATTCAAATAAATGAATGAATAAATACTACTTTTCAACAAAATGGTAGACTATCATTGCCATTGTATTAGATCATTTGCTTAATAAATATTTCCTCTATAACAGATTCAGATATATTCCTATCTTTTTTACTGGTTTTCTTTAAAACCATAGCTTTGGTTTTCTATTGTAAATATACTTACTGGTCCTTATTGCTGCTGTTGTTCACATTAAAAAGTGCAATGGCACCAGGCAGGTACTGCTCTCTGGGAAATGAAAAACATGTAGTGAAATCACAATAGTCACCATCTGTATAATGTCCATGGTAAGCAAATGGTCGGAAAAAACAAATTCTTTCTTGTTTCTACTCATTACTAAAGATGGTCTAGATGATATTTCAAAAACATATTATGAAGCATAAGGCATAAAAGTGTATCCTGAGCCTCCATGAAGCATGACTTGCCAAATGCCAGTGTCTTGAACAAACATGGTGATATGGTTTGCCTGTGTCCCCACCCAAATCTCATCTTGAATTATAGTTCCCATAATCCCCACATGCCATGAAAGGGACCCGGTGGGAAATAATTCAATCATAGGAGTGGGTGTTGCCTATGACATTCTCATGCTAGTAAGTAAGTCTCACAAGATCTGATGGTTTTATAAAGGGCAGTCCCCCTATACATGCTCTCTTGCCTGCCACCGTGTAAGACATGACTTTGCTCCTCCTTTACCTTATGCCATGATTGTGAGGCCTCCCCAGCCATGTGAAACTGTGAGTCCATTAAGCCTCTTTTTCTTTATAAATTACCCAGTCTCAGGTATTTCTTCATAACAGTATGAAAATGGACTATAATACACATGGTTAGTAAATGCATATCGGTCAAAGTTCATACCAAGAATTAGCTTAAGTGAACCAACCTCAATGCCAGTAACTCCCAACAAGAGACCTAAGATGGTCAGGGAAAATAAGATGAGGAGAAAAGATAAATAAAAACAATGGGAAGGCTGGAGGTAGTCAGTGGGAAGAAAAATAGGAAAGAGGAGAAAACAGGGGAGGAAAAAAGCAAAGAAAAACGAATTATGTAAAACAGGTGGAAACCCCAGCTCCACACCAACACCACACCACACCCCTTCTGCAATCTCAATTCCGGTATCTGAAGTTTTCACAACTTCTTTATTTCCTACTAAGGATTTTTTGCTTTTCTCTTCTAGCACCTCTCTCCAGTGCTCTATTTTCTAAAAGTAGGACCAAATGGGATGGAGCATTTTAGAAAATAACAGCTAACCCTCTCACATGTACTTGCTTCGGGACCCTGAAAGAAGGATCAGAGAGAAACAAGAAATCAGAGGGGACTGGGTTTCTTAAGGGACAGACCCCAATGGGTCTCAGGGAAAATGAAGCAAGAGTGTTTACAACTTGGAACCCCATGGCGATAAATAATCACTGGGCAGTGGCAGTATTTCCCAAGAGATGGCATGGGTAGGAACAAAAATAACTCCTCCTGAGATCCCACATCTTGTCTAGATAGCAGAGGCATTTGACAAGCTTGCTCCTAAGAAGTAAAAGACCTTTTATCTAAACAACAGTTTACAAACCCATTTATGTCTAGTGTTTGATTATTGGAATGCTAAGCATGTGGGAGTTATTTCTATTCTACTGCTCAAGGTCATCGCCATGGTCTGATTGCAAAAATTCAAAACACTGCAACCTTAGGCATAAATGGTTAAAAACAGGCACCAAGGATGGATCATACTGCTCACCTCTGTGATGGTCCTCCCTTTCTGTGTGACTTATAACTAAAGGAACCCCTTGCATGATGGTTTTCATTCTCTGATTCTTCAGATACAGAGGCACTGTCATCATCCTCAGAAAAGGAGCTACAGTCCAATAGGAGGCAGAGAGAGATGTGTTAATGTTTTCAACCACTGCGGAGGAACAACATTCCTCACTAGGGGGACAATTGCCTCACCTCTTTTCCTTCTCTCCTAAACTAACACACATAACAATTTTTAGTGAGCATGAAGTTAGAACTATACAGAATACATAGAATTATATAAAATGTATGCATAATTCCGTAAAATGCATTTAACTAAGGAATTACTTTCTAGGTTTTCCACATTTCTATTGTTTGATGCATTGATTGATGTTAATATTTATCAAATAGCAAGTGTGATATCCGGGACTTAGATCATATTAAAAATTTGAATGAACTAGTTTTCTAACTAATGTTTCTTCCCACTAAAAGTAAATTCAACCACATTCATATATATTATATTCATTTATAGGGTAAGCACTTTAAATTATACTTTTAAATCACATTGCTAGCATTTCATACTCTGAGTACCTTTCACATATATTTATGGCAATGTCATCTCTTTAGATTCAAAATGTCCCATGAGGAAAAGCCCTGCCAGTGACTAAAGAAATGTTTGGCATAGGTGCTTAATAGGTGCTTCCAAAAAAGTGACCACAATAATATCTATGTTCAGGCTGGGCATGGTGGTTCACGCCTGTAATCCCAGCACTTTGGGAGGCTGAGGCAGGTGGATCACTTGAGGTCAGGACTTCGAGACCAGCCTGACCAATATGGCAAAACCCTGTCTCTACTAAAAATACAAAAAAAAATTAGCCGGGCATGGTGGTGCGCACCTGTAGTCCCAGCTACCCAGGAGGCTGAGGCAGGAGAATCGCTTGAAACCAGAAGGCAGAGGTTGCAGTGAGCTGAGATTGTGCCACCGCACTCCAGCCTGGGAAACAGAGTGAGACTCCGTCTCAAAATAAATAATAAATAAATAAATAAATAAGTCTGTGTTGTTAGACAAGTTATGCTGTTCCAAAGTATGAATAAATTTGCTAAATTAAATACATTACAAAGTTCAAGGTTACAAATTATAAAGCTAAATTGAAATTAAACCTAGTTAAATTAAAGAACCGTGGCTAATATTAAAAATGCATGGGAAAATGTTTGGATTTACCTGCATGCTCCATTTTCCATCTTTCTTATTTCCTTTTCAATATCTGGTACAATCACATTGGGCATGTTTACAAAGGACTGTTGTGTATTGACAATATTTTTCTTCATGGTTAGTTTCATATCTGAGGAGAAAGAAGTCTTATTAGTGGGAAGGATATTTTTATATATTTACATATATAATCAAAAGTTTCACCCTATGTATTAGTCTGTTCTCATGCTGCTAATAAAGGTGTACCTGAGACTGGGTAATTTATAAAGGAAAGAGGTTTAATGGACTCTTCCATGTGGCTGGGGAGGCCTCACAATCATGGCAGAAGGCAAAGGAGAAGCAAAGGCACATCTTACATGGCAGCAGGGAAGAGGACGTGTGCAGGGGAACTCCCCATTACAAAACCATCAGATCTCATGAGACTTATTCACTATCATGAGACTAGCATGGGAAAAATCCACTCCCGTGATTCAACCACCTCCCACTGAGTTCCTCCCATGACACAGGGATTATGGGAGCTGCAGTTCAAGATGAAGTTTGGGTGTACCAAACCGTATCAACCCTACCATTTTTCTAAGACTATAATACTATTTGCAGTTTTACATAGGAATTATTCTTTAATAGAATGCAGGCATGGCTTATTCCCCTAATTTCCATTGACTAGTTTTTTGTAAAATTTTTTAAATTTAAGAATGTACTAGAGGTATAAAACATTTACAAATTTGGATTTATCCCAGTTTTGAAATACTCAAGCAATATAATGTAGAACAAAACCATAGGGACCTCACATACCCATCAAGCAATTAAATAACAGTAAAAAGCAGTAGATGTAATGGAGGTAATCAGCTGTGAATTTCTATAGGCATTTAGACAAAAAGAGTCCTAAGTGGTGTTCAAACTTTAGAGGAAATAAAAATAAAATTGATCACATTTTTAGCAAGTCCCCTAAATTATTCAGATGCATATATACCCGAGCAGCATATTTTGAAAACACTGGCCTAAACTCTAGTCAGGGCATATAATTTCCTCAGCGCAGGTAGAGGAGGCAGGGTGGAATCTCAATTCACTTTCCAGCTGCTCTCAGCACAGGCCATGCCCCTTTGGCTGCTGTCTGAGACATTGCCTTCTTCACTGGCTTCAGCTTCCATCCGCCTATGATTTCTGTTCATGGTCCTCAGGAAGGATCCTCTCTCTAGTTTGAGGGTACTCACCTTGAGAATGTCGGTAACTGATGCGGAGAAGGGGACAGAGAAGTGCTGGGTAGAGAAGGCCGGGGTCCCTGGCGAGAGCTCCACAGTCGGGCCTATGCCCTCGGACCTAAGTGAAAACAGGCACTCCTGTTTTTGCCCCAACGATGCATTTTCCGGGACCACTCTGGCTGCCACGTCCCCCACATCCTGTGCCCATATACACCTGAAACCTCAGCGGGCACACACACAAGCGGCTGAATGTCGAGAGGAGCAGAGGAACAGAATGGCAGAGAATGGCAGAGAGCGACGGAGAGTGGTGGAGAGCAGCAGGGCGGCACGGCGGAGAAGGAGGGAAGAGGAGTCTGAACATCAAGAGGAGTTGTGTCCAGAACGGCAGAACTCCAGTGGTAGATTATCCCCACACCCCTCCACCTTCCCGGAACTCCAACTCCCCATCCCTCTGAAAGTCACCTCTACTGTTCAACAAAGTCTCTGCATTCATCACCTTTCAAACAGTTCATATGACCTGATTTGTCCGGGACTCCGGAAAAGAATGGAGGTGGGGAGGTTAACACTCAGCTGTCCCCGGACAGCAACGCTAAAGGAACTCATTATAACACATGCCCACTTGGACTCTGGGACCTGTCAGTCTGCGTGCTCCCCCTTCCCTCAGGGGTTTGAGCAGCAGCGAGGGAGGAGACTAAACAGATGAGCCACACCCCTGCAGCACGTCCCGCAAGGGGAATCAGGAAACCTTCCCATTTTATGACCACATGAAAGATGACATCGCCTGCTTCTTCCATGGCTTCCAATACTCGGTGCCAGAATGGCTCTGACTGCAGAGTGGAGAATGTTCCTCCCCTTAATTCCTTACTGGCCTTGATCACCTAGGCTTTGAGTTTGATACTTGCCCTTAAAAGAGTCAACCACTTAAAGAACATAGTTCTGTTCAAAACGAGCACATGTGAGGCACCCCTTCAGGGATTCCCTGGAAAACCTTGCCAGCCTTTTTGAGAGGGATAAGCCTGAAGGCCCTCTGGGTGTAGGTAGAGCTGAAATTCTGTGCCATTGATGACTATGAAAGTTTGTTTGGATCCAAAGACTCCATGGGCCCAGAGACCTTTAAACTATATTTAAACAGGGCTGCTGTGTAAAGGTACCCAGAGATACAGCTAGACCAGTTGCTTATAACCATGCTTTATAACTATCCTTTTCTGATAAGTAAGTGCTCAATGACTATAATAGATGTTAAATAGTTTAGTATCACTTTTTCCTAGTTTTATTACTTAACAGTTTTGTGTACATGCCTCAGTGACTCGATTAGGAAAAGAATTCTTGGAATCCAATAAAAATTTTTTTCTTTTCTTCCTTTTCTTTTTTTTTTTTTTTTTTTTTTTTTGAGACACAGTCTCACTCTATCACCTAGGCTCACTCAGCTCACTGCAACCTCTGCCTCCTGGGTTTAAGCTATTCTCCTGTCTCAGCCTCCCAAGTAGCTGGGATTACAGGTGCCCACCACCACGCCTGCTAATTTTTGTATTTTTACTAGAGATAGGGCTTCGCCATGTTGGTCAGGCTGGTCTTGAACTCCTGACCTCAGGTGATCCTCCCCCGTCAGCCTCTCAAAGTGCTGGGATTACAGGCGTGAGCCACCGCACCTGGCCCATATAACAATTTGTTTAATGCTTGGGCTATGCTATGAAAACAGATTATTACTAAGGTACAAAGTGGTGTTCTGGCTGCAGTACCCTGCGTGAGCCATGCTGTTTCACACCTCTGTGCCTTTGCATGTGCTCTCCTTGGGCTTCAAAAGTTCACTTCTCTTGAGTCCAAATAGGTGTTATCCATTGCTCAAGTCCAAGCCACTGACTCCTCGCCCTTGATCTAGATGATTACTTCCTTCTCTTCTCTGCCACTGCATTTTGTACATATTTCAATTATTTTCTACTTGCTAAATTGTTACACACACTGTCTTCACAAGGCTACAACCTCCTCTAGGAGGGAGACTTTTGAAACCCCAGCAGAGTGCTTGCGCATAATAGGTACTCAAGAAATGCTCACGGCATGAACAAATCCTGTTTTGTGTTTTAAAAACTATACTCACGAGACATTTCATTAGCAGTTATGAAAACTCACTGAATTTACAATGACTTTGAAATGGTTCCTAGGGTGACAGATATGGTGAATTGGCCCACATCATCCATTCTTCTCTCCTTCTAGTGTTCTTTCATGATCTGCAAAAACTGGAAGAGCTAAAAATCTGTATTACTCAGTCTGCTTTGCAGCTCAGATTCTGGACAGAACTTATGGCATTTAGGTTTAGTCAATTAAATGTATTTGTATGAAATTTGGAAGGTAGAAGTGAGGTGAAGACAATGGATCTTCCATTTCTGCTATGGCTGCCAGCAAGAATGGGCAGGGACACATTGTGTATTCTGAGGCAGCTATCCCCGTCTGGTTACTAGCTTTCCTGGTGCCAAAGAAAGGGCATCCAGGTGATGCCGGAATGCACCTAGCAGGAGTAGGGCGACTGTTGTGCCAGGTTGCAGTGGAAGTGGCTCATAGGAATTCTGGGATGCTGTTCTGGGGTCATGCCTATGGTTCAGCCTAGAGCTCCAGCCCTTCTAATGACTGTTAGCATCTATTTCCAAGAATTAAAGCTCTTTCTATTGAAAAAGACCAGTGTACAATTCGGTTTCTGCAAATGAACAAATTACTTTCCTGGTTTTCGATACATGAAGTGTTGTAGAACATTGGAAAAGGTTGTCAAAATGAGGGAAAGGAAGGGGGAGGAAAAGACAGAACGGGAAATGTGAAAGAAGAGAAAGGAAAAGGGAAGAAGGGAACGTGGGAGAGGTGGTAGAGAAGAGAAAAGCAGAGCACATTCCTAGACTTTTTGTTACTATTGTTGTTTGAAGAAATTTTAGGAGAAACATTAATGGTCAAACTGCCTTTTCTGCTGGCATTTAAATATCTACATTATGAGAAATTCCAGAATTTACTGCAAATTTTAATTTTTTAATTTTTTTTATTTATTTTAAGACAGAGTCTCGCTCTGTCACCCATGCTGGAGTGCAGTAGCACAATCTTGGCTCACTGCAACCTCTGCCTCCCGGCTTCAAGTGATTCTCCTGCCTTGGCCTCCCAAGTAGCTGGGATTACAGGTGCGTGCCACCATGCCTGGCTAATTTTTTTGTATTTTTAGTAGAGACAGGGTTTCACCATGTTGGCCAGGCTGGTCTCAAACTCCTGACCTCAGGTGATCCACCCACCTTGGCCTCTCAAAGTGCTAGGATTACAGGCATGAGCCACCACCACCAGCCTGCAAATTTTTACACTAGTCTAAACTTTCGAGACAATGAGAATGTTGTCTTCTTAAATATATTCATGGATCTTTTATTGAAGTGAGCAAAAATCACAGGCTGGGCATGATGGCTCACACCTGTAATCCAAGCACTTTGGGAGACTGAGGTGGGAGGATTGCTTAAGGCCAGGAGTTCAAGACTGGGCAACATAGCAAGATCTCCATTTCTACAAAATAAAAATAAGAATAAAATATTAGCCCAGAGTGGTGATGTGCACTGCACCCATAGTCCCAGCTACTTGGCAGGCTGAGGCAGGTGGATCACTTGAGCCTTGGAGGTCGAGGCTTTAGTGAGCTGTGATTGTGCCACTGCACTCTAGCCTGGGTGACAGAGAGTGACCTTATCTCTAAAAATAAAATTAAAATTAAAAATGGAAATAAGAAAATCACTGATATTTGTGCCTGTAGTTCACAAACACTAGCGGCAATTTGAAGAAAGGTGAGTTTAGCAATAATGAGAAACATATTTATGCTGTTTAAAAGATCTCCCACCAGACATAGAACTGAACCGATCAAACAGTATTAAGGTTTCAAAAATTCAGAAATCTTGATCAGCTTTGGCCATTCTCCTATGTTGTAAGCATTTGATAATGTATCAGATAGATGTGTTTATAATTTTGTTTTTTTCAGACGGAATCTCACTCTGTTGCCCAGGCTGGAGTACAGTGGCGGGATCTCAGCTCACTGCAACCTCCACCTCCCAAGTTCAAGTGATTCTCCTGCCTCAGCCTCCCAAGTAGCTGGGACTACAGGCATGTACCACCATGCCCGGCTAATTTTTTGTATTTTTAGTAGAGATGAGATTTCACCATGTTAGCCAGAAGAGTCTAGATCTCCTGACCTCGTGATCTGCCCACCTCAGCCTCCCAAAGTGTAGGGATGTGAGCCACTGCACCTAGCCATGTTTGTAATTTTTACATACACCTCTATTTAACAATAACTTTGCTCATGCTGTTCATTTTGCATGGAATTCTTGACCCCTTTTGTTCTCCCAGGAAAAATCCTATTTGCCCTTCAAAAATCAGTTCATATATGCCCTGTGAAAAGACATCAATGAGGCCAGGCACGGTGGCTCATGCCGACAATCCCAGCACTTTGGGAGGCCGAGGCAGCCTGATCACCTGAGGTCAAGAGTTCAAGAGCAGCCTGGCCAACATGGTGAAATTCCATCTCTACAAAAATACAAAAATTAGCAGGGCATGATGGCAGGTGCTTGTAATCCCAACTACTTGGGAGACTGAGTAAGGAGAATAGTTTGAACCCAGAAGGTGGAGGTTGCAGTGAGCTGAGATTGTACCATTGCACACCATCCTGGACAACGGAGCAAGAATCCATCTCAAAAAAAAAAAAAAAAAAAAACCGTAGATGATTACTTGGGCACAGAATCCAGCACACCCTCCTTTTTGTTCCCATAGTTCTGTGCATCTTCTTCTATACACGCTGGCTACTACATGGGTACTGATACGTCCTCCTCCCCTGATAGATTGTGAGCTCTTCGGAAAAGTTCATGCAGGAGCTCTTGAACATAATACCTGACATTTACTAAAGCTTTTTAGCCTTAAAGTGGAATCAATTCTGCAACAAGTTTTTTTTTTTTTTTTTTTTTTGAGACAGAGTCTCCTCTTCACCCAGGCTGGAGTGCAGTGGCGATCTCAGCTCACTCAGCTCACCTCCTGGTTAGCTATTCTCTCAGTCCGAGTACTGGATAAGGGCTCATCTCCGCTATTTTTTTTTTTTATAAGACGTTTCACCTGTTACAGATGGTCTCATCTCTGACTCGTATCCGCCCTCCCCCCAAGTTGGATACAGCTTGAGCCCCGCCCCTGCACCAAGTTTTAATTGAGTACCTTAAACATAATTCATTATAATTATTTCATTTTTCATTTAAGTAATACAGAAACATAAGAAATAAAGTTAAAGCTACAAATAAATGTATTTTTATTACAAAAATAAAATCACTTGCCATAACAGAATTACTTTGTTTATAGAGAAATTAACAACATAAAGAAGAAAATGCTTGTGAAGAAGATTTTATATGATCAATCAACAAAGACATGAAGCATGAAGATTTTGAGAAAGGTTAGGAAACCATAGAGAAAGACAGGTACAAGTCACCAGGGAGAGAGTTGATGGCAAATGTGAGTGCTGGTGCCCGACAGCTTCACAAAAACTACAGTGCTTAATCAGAGGCAAAGGGAATAAAATAGAAACTCAAAAGAAATGAGAAATCAATAGCAACAACCAATGGTACACATTCATCTAAGAGCCTTTGGACAATCAAAAATAAGTCAGATTTAATTAGTTCCACTAATCCATGTTCACTTTGGAAACTTGAAAACCTTGTGGCCTGAGTGTGCAAATAAAGTAAATTATCATTTTAAAAGTACATGAAGAAAAAAAGAAAACTCATCCCTACCTCACACCACCACAAAAATTAATTCAATATGGATCACAGACCGAAACATAAAAGCTAAAATTACAAAGCTTCTAGAAGAAAACATAGGAAAATATTCTTATAACTTTGGGGTAGGCAAGATTTCTTAGAAAGGGCACAAAAAAGATACTCAATCTAAAAGGAAAAAAATCTTTTGAGACAAGCTCACTGTGTCACTCAGGCTGGAGTGCAGTGGCGCCATCTTGGCTAACTGCAACCTCCACTTCCTTGGTTCAAGCAATACTCCTGCCTCAGCCACATGAGTAGCTGGGATTACAGGCACCTGTCGCCACACCTGGCTAATTTTTTTGTATTTTTAGTAGAGTCGGGGTTTCACTACGTTGGCCAGGTTGGTCTCAAACTCCTGACCTCAAGTGATCTGCCCGCCTTGGCCTCCCAAAGTGCTGGGATTACAGGTGTGAGCCACCGTGCCCGGCCCTAAAATAAATTTTTAATGCATTGGATAGCATCAAAATTATAAACTTTTGCTTATCAAAAGACATATAAGAAGATGTAAAGGCAAGCCACAGATAATCATATTCATAGTACATTTATCTGACAAGACTTACATACATAATATTTATGAAATTTTATG